CTAACCCCATTATCTAGTTGTCCAAAGTATACTAACCCCATTATATAGCTGTCCAAAATAAACTAACCCCATTATCTAGCTTTACAGAGTAAACTAACCCCATTATCTAGCTGTCCAAAGTAAACTAACCCCATTATCTAGCTATCCTAGGTAAACTAACCCCATTACATAGCTGTCCAAAGTGTACTAACCCCATTATCTAGCTGTCCAAGGTAAACTAACCCCATTATCTAGCTGTCCAAGGTAAACTAACCCCATTATCTAGCTGTCCTAGGTAAACTAACCCCATTATCTAGCTGTCCAATTAAAAATTAGGGACGACTACGCAGATAGTTTTGCGTGAAACTTTAAAACAAACAAACAAACGATTACAAACATATAAAAACATTTGTTTTTATTCCTGCAGGTTCTGTAATAAACTAATCTTAGTCTATCAGTTCAAAATTAGGGACGACTACGCAGATAGTTTGGCGTGAAACTTTAAAACAAACAAACGATTACAAACATATAAAAACATTTGTTTTTATTCCAGCAGGTTCTAAACTAATCTTAGTCTATTAATTAAAAGTTAGGAACGACTACGCAGATAGTTTTGCGTGAAACTTTAAAACAAACAAACGATTACAAACATACAAAACATTTGTTTTTATTCCCGCAGGTTCTGTAATAAACTAATCTTAGTCTATCAGTTAAAAATTAGGGACGACTACGCAGATAGTTTTGCGTGAAACTTTAAAACAAAGAAACGATTACAAACATACAAAACATTTGTTTTTATTCCCGCAGGTTCTGTAATAAACTAACCCTGACCTATGTTCAAAATTAGGGACGACTACGCATAGAGTTCTCTTTGACAAAGAATATGAAACAAACACAAATAATTTCAGGGTGAAAACAAAATGCGAAGTTAAGAGAAATATTTCGAAACGTTGTAAGAAAACTTTGAAAGGAACAACATATCAAAGTTTTCATGAAGGATAATCCAATTCTTCCATCTTACACATACATTTAGTAACTACTTTTGAGGGGGGTAAGCTGGAAACAAATACAGCCACAATTGAAAAATGTCTTAGCATTTTCTCTTATTTTGAAAATTGTTTGATATTTATTGTAATCTTCTAGCGGCATTATAGAGGAATCTCTAACGGTCCCTGACCCCCAGTGGTACAGCGGTATGTCTGCGGACTTACAACGCTACAAACCGGGTTTCGATACTCGTGATGGGCAGAGCACAGATAGCCCACTGTGTAGCTTTGTGCTTAACTTCAAAACAAACAAACTAACGGTCCCCTGGTGGATCAGAAGTAAGTTTTCAGACTTAGAACAATAAAATCTATAACGTTCTTTAAGGACAATGAATTTTTATACTGGTAGAATATAATGGCAAATTATAAAAAATAAAAAAACAGTTACAGTAACTTTAATTGTTATAAGTTGTAAATGGCGATTGCCCCCCAGTGGCACAGCGGTATGTCTGCGGACTTAGAACGCTAGAAACCGGGTAGTCAGAGCACAGATAGCCCATTGTGTAACTTTGTGCATAACCACAAACTAATAAATGGCGATTACAGCACCCGCTAACAGAATTCCCAGTCTTTATTTTAAATTTTTGTTTTGTGTTTGCCTCCGTTGTTTTCAAGTCGCATCCTGTCACTTTTTTTATGCTATTGTGATCTCGAGATTCAAAACAAATGTACCTGATGATGACAAAACCTTGTCGAAACATTGTACATTTGCTGTTATGTTAAACTTATATTAAAGTTTTTTCTTCATTACCCATTCAAGCCGTCTCCAGCCATTGCTATTACCATTAGTTACAAAAATGCTGTTTTCGGGTTCATGCTGCCAACGCATGCGCAATACGAGCGTCCGTAGTTTTCCGCACATACGAATGGTTCTTTTCTGGCCATTTCCATGAATGGAAAAACTGAATTTTTGCCTTTTTGACACTCGAACCCCGGATTTTAGCGTTGCCCCACCGGAATACATAAGTTTTTCTCACAAGTACTTCTAAAGTTTTCACGGATATGTACTAATAATTTTATTTTGACATGAAATAACGATTTTATAATAAAACTAATAGCTTATGTAACTATTGGTTGTGAGTTTGCCTACAATGAATTAATTGGATTTAATGGTGAGAGCTACTTAGCTCTATGTTCGTCATACATTATAAAGTTTTCTAGCATGATTAACAAAACATTTTTATTTAAAGTTTTCCTCAAATATTTATAGCTTGTGGGTGGAAGTATTATTAACCTAGTTTCAAATAGGCTCCTTCGTGATCCTAGGGGGTACAAGAATCAAAAAATACTATACCAGATGCGGGTTCCGAGACCCCGAAAACCTACTCCTAAAACCCCATCATGGCTGGATGACATAGTGGGTGCGTTTTATCCTCCTTCAATCAGGTCACCCTAAGTCCGCCTACTAAGTTTGGTCCAATGTGAATTACTAGAGGATATCAAAACTGCTGCCATCTCTTGCAAACTTATAAAACTACACTTGTTTTTAATTAATCGCTGTATTTTCAACAGATGGCAGCGTTGTAAAAGCGTATTTCACTAACATTAGTGAGAAGCTGTGTGATATCAATCTGACTTTCCTAACTCATCATTATTCAAAGATACGAAGCATAACTACTTTCATTGATTAATGACAGAAAAATTGTTAATATGCTTGTCATATATCTCGGGTATAATTCTGGAAATGTCTATTTTATAATTATATTTCTAACTAATTATTTTAAAATATTCACAATGATTTTCTACATACACATTTTAGCTAGAAGGTTTTTCTGTAGACAACCTACACCGCTATGTAAAACAGTTTAAGGTTTCAGTGTTGTGATAGGTACCGTTAGATTGTGACTTTTGTGGCTCTTGCCAACTACAACTACTTGATACGAATATCTCAACTTTCCAAGGCCTTTTTTTAAAACTGTATTTGAGGGAAAATACACACCATTCTAAGATTACTTTTTGGGTACCAATAGTAAAATCGATTTTATTTTCACACCGCAAATACCGTGGAAGTTATTGATGTGTTTGTAATCAGTAGGCTTCCTTAAGAAGACGAAATATTTGAGCCTTTTCTTAACCTTGTGAATAACAGTAATGGGGTTAGTTTACCTTGAATAGCTAGATAATGGGGTTAGTTTACCTTGGACAGCTAGATAATGGGGTTAGTACACAGGCGTTTGAAATAAATTTCACTGCAAACCAATGAAATCAAGCGTTTGAAATAAATTTCACTGTAAACCAATGAAATCAAGCGTTTTATTAGTTAAGGTACCTAGTTCACCCAACATCACAATAAGACACGTATAACAGATAATATGTTTATAACTATACAATGCTTTAAGTCAAAATTTGACAGTTACCCACCAGTCCTAGATGTACAACTCGCCCCCCCCCTTCCCCCAGTGGCACAGCGGTATGTCTTCGGACTTACAAAATTCAAATAACTGAACCACTGTTGACTTACACTTTGAGGTGAGGAGTGAATTCCGGATGACCTGCAAGATATTCCTAGTTAAAAGATAAAAACGAAAACGACAGAAAATATATAGAAATCGAATGTTTTAATAATCTAATAGAGCTCTATGTAATGATATTTCTGAAATTTAAGACGAAGATGTTGATATATGTGTTTCATTATCCAATGTTTCGTCGAGCGGTTTTTTATATGTGTTTCTAACGGCGTGTCGGACTTGTTTTGTGTGTTTGTTCAGTGCAAAGTCACATTAGGCAATCTGCTGTGTCTACCGCGGGGAATCAAAAACCAGTTTTTAGCGTTCTAAGTCCATAAATTTATCACTGCCTCTGAACGTGCGGAATGTCGCAGGCTCGAACCTCGGTAGCATGAAACCACTATAATACACCCCGTCCCTTATTTGTTTCTAAACAGATTAAATACGATACAGATACTGTACTGAGTGAAAATCCTTATGACACATCTAATACGAATACATGCTTTTTTCAGAAGATGTAGTGAGCAGCATGGGTTAGCCCTAATCTTGACGATGGCGTAGGAATAACTTCATCATCGTTAGGCAGTCCGTTCTAAGAAGGAAAAAAAAAAAAACCCAGAAATTAAACTCAGCAGAGAGTCACTGAATCAAGTGGATTTGTAATAAACGTACTTGCCAAATATCGTGTAAAAACTCTGTTACTTGTCACTAAAATATAGCGATCTCATTAGATAAATAACGAAGGCATTTATTTCAATGCTTGTTAAAACTAACAGCCTGTTATTTACGACAGAATTAGCTTATAATTACGTAGAAAATCATTATATTTCAATAAGGACTCAGAGAAACAATTAGATAATTTTATTTTAGGGACAGTTTTTGGAATGTTGAAGATAAGAGCAGGTGTACTAAAAAATTGACATCTCATATGCATCATTTAGTGCCCCCGCCCCCTAATGGTTCAGCTGTAAGTATGTAGGCTTACGACGCTAAAAATCTGGTTTCGGTACCCATGGTGGGCAGAGCACATATAGCCCATTGTGTAGCCCATTTAGGAAAGTTAGAAATAAATCTATATAATTATTACAAGTGTATAACTAAAATTCGTTAATGGTTGTTCCTTTCGCTCCTATTTTGAAAGATAAAAAAATTAAATGTTGCCGGTGAATCTGAAAGTAAACTTAGATCTTTGTGCATGAATATTGCTGTCAACAAAATTTGATTGTTAATAGCACTGATAGATACAAGTATCGCAGTTCACAATTACATTTTACATAGTTACAAATGTTTTGTTTTGATGGGTAAATTCTCGTGCCTTAAAAACGACTGCTTAAAATTTTGAATCATATTTCGGTTATTATAACAATTGTAGAAGTCTAACGATTTCTCACAAACACAGTGTTGGTCTTATAGGTGATTACAACTACGAGGACCAGACGTGGCCTAGTGGTTATAGTGCTGTAAGATTGATGATCAAATCCCAATATTCGGTCAAACAATTTGTTTGTTTAGAATTAAGCACAAAGCTACACAATGTGCTATCTGTGCTCTACCCACCGCGATACCCGGTTTCTAGCGTTGTAATTCCACGGGCATACTGCTGTGCCACTGTGTGTGTGTGTGGGGGGGGGACTCGGTCAGACGAGAGTAGTCCAAGAATTGACCGTGAGTGCTGTTGACTAGCTACTTTCTTTCTAGTTTCAGTTAAAAATTAGGGATGACTACGCAGATAGTTTTGCGTGAAACTTTAAAACAAACAAACGATTACAAACATACAAAACATTTGTTTTTATTCCCGCAGGTTCTAAACTAATCTTAGTCTATTAAGATTTCATTGGTTTACAGTGAGATTTATTTCAAACGCTTGATTTCATTGGTTTGAAAATGTCTTCTCAAACATCTGATCTCAAGTGAAAAATATTTTCTAAAGTTTGCTCTACTTTTCAGGTCGATTCCTTTGGAGTGGTTTGTAGATCAACTCAGCAGAAACCCCACACTTGCTAAACTTGTAGCTGAAAAAACTGTGGACCTAAACGGTAGGTTTTTTTATAATATCATTAGCTAAATCATAAAGCTGTTTTTATTATTACAAGTTTTAGAATAAAATAGAAGAATGCCAGTGTTCACACATCTCAGATGAAATCGGTTAAATGAGGATTATTAAATTTAATATTTTAATACATTTATATTTGTAATGTATGATAACATATTTCTGTATAAAACATTTGTGTAAACATTATATTATGATCACTTAATTTGGGATACAACAACTATATAAACATCATACCATAGTATAAACCAGTTATGTAAACATCATATCATAATACAAAACAGCTATGTAAACATTATACCATAATATAAAACAGTTATGTAAACATCATACCATAGTATAAACCAGTTATGTAAACATTATACCATAATATAAAACAGCTATGTAAACATTATACCATAATATAAAACAGGTATGTAAACATCATATCAGAATATAAACCAGTTATGTAAACATCATACCATAATATAAAACAGGTATGTAAACATTATACCATAATATAAAACAGCTATGTAAACATTATACCATAATATAAAACAGTTATGTAAACATCATACCATAATATAAAACAGCTATGTAAACATTATGCCATAATATAAAACAGTTATATAAACATTATACCATAATATAAAACAGCTATGTAAACATTATACCATAATATAAAACAGTTATATAAACATTATACCATAATATAAAACAGCTATGTAAACATTATACCATAATATAAAACAGTTATATAAACATTATACCATAATATAAAACAGTTATGTAAACATTATACCATAATATAAACCAGTTATATAAACATTATACCATAATTTCTATATACACTGTGGCGAAATAGAAAGTACTTGGAATACATTTATCTGTTTCACTTGTAATAAAATTTTCTGATGTGTTTTTTTTTCACGGTAAAAAGTTTAATCTAATGAGATTATTCAAAACATATTTATTGTAGTATTTAAATTCTCGTCTCTTAGAATAATAAAACTTTTGCTTGTTTTAGCTGATAGATGTATATATTATTTATAAAAACAAATCAACTTTTAAAAAATATATTACCATTTCCTTCTTCTATTGTTTAACGGAAAGACGGTCCACTTTGTCTTTCAGGTAATGGGTTTATTTCCCAGGATGAGCTCTACCAAGTCCTTTGATGAAGACGTGTTTTCGTGCCTGACGTTTTCACGACTGGTGTGTTTTTGCTTATGAGCCAAAATATTTTTTTTTCTTTCAGTCGAAAACAATATCATGTATATATATCTAACAGGCAGATTATATATGTTTTACACCCTATAGGTCACTTCCCGATGCTATGTTATATTTTGTTTGAAATAAATCTCACTGTAAACCAATGAAATCAAGCGTTTGAAATAAATTTGACTGCCGTTCTTTTATCATCACGGACACATTTATGTCCATCTCTAGAGCAATACCATGGACATAGACAAACTATATAGCTTTTGTTTTAATGGTGAACAATGTGATATTAACGATATGTGGGTTTGGAATTTTGGTATCCTCCTTCAAATTTACCAGTTTCAAGTTTAAGATAAGTAATGAAATGTTAAAATATCTGTTCTTTTTGTTTGCTTTGTATCTAAAATAAACCTGCTACAGTGAGATTTATAAACGTGACAGTAAAAGAATGAGGCTGAAAGAGGGGAACTAAAAACAGACGGAGTTCTTATTACCTAAGTATCTAAATATCATTCTATAAATATCTAAAATGTGTATTTTCGAAACCTTCATTCACTACATGTTTGAAGTACCTTCTGTCAACACCTTCATTCTATAAATATCTAAAATATGTATTTTCAAAACCTTCATTCACTACATGTTTGAAGTACCTTCTGTCAACACCTTTATTCTATAAATACCTAAAATGTGTATTTTCAAAACCTTCATTCACTACATGTTTGAAGTACCTCTGTCAACACCTTCATTCTATAAATATCTAAAATGTGTATTTTCAAAACCTTCATTCACTACATGTTTGAA